TTATTATTATTATTATTATAATCTGCTTATGTGATGAATTAATGTATTTTTAATGTAATCTTAATGTAATATAGTGTTAATGTAATTTTTAATTTGGTAATGAGACTTTGTGTAGTTCAAAAATATATATTAATTTATTTTTCCTGGTCCTTTTTCTGGTTCCTGGTCTGTCCACCTGTTCTTCAGTTTCCCTGGTTTTCTTCTCTGTGGCTTGTATCTCATTACCATTTTGGGGTATCTGTTGGGTTTCATTCTTTTAGTGTTTTTATGCTATTTTATTTGGTGTATTTCCTGGACAATGTTCTTTATCTCATTTGGGCTGATTCAATTCCTTTGCTTGTCTCTTTATCTTAATACTCAAGTTTCACTACCATATAATAGGGTTGGTTTGGATACAATGTTATGCAGTCTAATTTTACTTTCTAATATTTACTAACGTAAGAAGAGAAAGTATTGTAATTGTGCGCCGGAAAACGGCGAGTTTCCGACACAAAAACTCTTGTTGCCGGGTCCTGGTAAAGAAAAAGATGACAAAACCAGTAACTAATTTTAGAAGAAAAAATTCCTCTAACACATGGTGTAGCCAGAATCAATGTTTTATGCGTCCTTCATACCGATAAAATGATTAAGGGCAAAATGTCTGTCTGTCTGAGCACAACGCTTAGCGCATAAGCCGGTCAGTCTCTTCAGCAATTTTTTTCTTTTTTTATTAAATTTTGTTGTTGAACAGTGCCAAAGACGTTTAAGAGAATGGTCAATTCTCAATGGTCAACGTTTAAGAGAAGTCAATTCTCAATAATCGAAGGGGCTTCCACATTTGGATAGCTGATTCTAATCTTCGTTTTAATGCAATGATTACCAAATGTTGAGTCATGTGTTTGTTGAGATGTGGTCAAAACATTTTTCCAGAGCATATTGAAGAGAGTACTTTCACATGCAATAGAGTATTGTTGTAAATGTATAGTTTCAATTTCTGGAATTTTTTGAACATCCAAATTCCTAGGACCGAACAACAGATATGAAAGAAGAGGAGTAAATTTGCAATTTATTGTTATGTTTTTTTCTCTTTATATCAGAAAACCATGAAGTTCATCAATTGGATCTTGATTATACCGATTAGGTGCCAGTTCATGTTCGACTATTGAACCTTAATCAACCCCTTGTTTATCACTGACCCCTTCAAAATTTCATTGACCTCAAGGGATTTTATATGACCACATTCGGAAACCCTGATCTATATTATTTTCAATGTGTCCAATTTCACTATGTATTCTCTGACCAAGTGAGAGGGGTCTGTGGTTTCGTAGGGTACAGAGGACCTCTGGAAACAAAAAAAAATTAGTCTTGATTTTGTCTGATAAATGCCAAAATTTATTAGTGTTATTTCACATATTCTCATACTGTGTACATCTCATAGATAGCAATTGTATCACTGCTTAAGACACAGGTAACATCATGTGACATCTAGGCTCCAAGGAAGCATCAGCCCACGAAAGTGTCAGCATTAAATATTTCCTATTCACGTTGTGTAATGGAACAGCAACATTGTTTATCTTCGCGGAAGTAAAGTGTACTGTATATACACTACACTAAGTTATTGCAGTATTAGTGAAGACTGTTTTTGTTAAAATATTTAATTTTGCGCAGTGTTATACAAGAGTATTGTATTTTGTTGTTCGTAAGCATTAGGGACTATTTTGTTGGTGATTTTTTTTACGCAGAATTTTTGCTGCCATGGACTGCTTGTTACTATTAGCATATATGGTGTAAATATGGAGGTTAGGCCACAGTCTTGTCTCAGTCCTCTGCATGTAGAGAATAGTTTTGTGATGATTTCATTGCTTACTTTCATGGTTATTTATAAGTCCCTCTGTAGTTTGTGCTACTTTTATGATACTTCTTCTCCCATGATTTCCCACTTCCACTTGCCCATTTCACCATAAGTATGCAAATAACAAGAGAAATGAAAGGAACTTGCCAATGTGTCTAATACTGTTTGTACTGTGAAGATTATATCTTTTGCCTTCCCAAAGCCACATTGTTCTTGAAGTGAACTTCTCACTGTATTGAGTATTCTATATCTTGTTGGAATATACATCCAATGACAAATTTCTTGTTTTTTTGACACCCAAACAAAATTGAACCTTTCACTGTTATATTATATTGTAAGAACAATTTATGTACTATTTAAATAACAAATTTGCTGTTTTAACATATGCAGTGCATGCTAATTTATAATACATAATAAAGGAGCAATAATATAGGCAGATATAACTCCAAGACTTCCACTGTAATGTCATTTGCCATATCCAACACAATTATTATCACAGTACATCTATCCCAAAATGAATAAGAAAATCAAAAAGTTTGCATCAGTTTCATGACTTTTAAAAGTAGAACAAAATTCCCTGACAGTTGGCCTCCATAACTATTGGCAAATCTATAAATTCAGACTGAACTCTTCAGTACAACTGGTCACCTGAATAGTGGTCTTGCAGTTAAGTAGCATGGAAAATTAGAATACCACAGGAAAAAAAACTATTGAATCAGCACTTCACATAAGGGCTTGATTCAAAATTTTACATTTAAAAGAACAAAGCTAATGCTTCCACTTTAATTTTCAGTTCGTTTAAATTAAAACATTGAAAAATAGTTAAACTTCCCAAGATTTTTTGAAATTTAATTTTCTTTTATGTAGCATAAACATAGTCATGAATGACTGACAGTATAGGCTAGTGTGTAAGATACCATTTAAAAAAAACAAAACATTTTGGCTTTTATGAAAATGTTTCTTCAAGTCTACATTCACTTACCAATGAGAGAGATTCTCCAGCAAAAACTTGTGTTAAAATATTTTCTTTAAAAAATTAAGACATTCTCAAAACGTATTGGAAGAGCATTGATAATTCTGTACTATTGAAATTACTATTGCTACATCCACAAAAATTAGTAAATTTCATATATATTAAATCCAAACTGGGTTTAGACTATACACGAGTATCAAGAGTAATTCAAAATGACTACTTCAAATGAATGATTTTCAATTCACATCTTGATACAGCATGCAAACTGTTTTGTGTACTTAAAAAATAAATATTTTCATCATTCACTACAGATTTCATCTCAAAAATCTGCTTTTTGGCTTCTGGGATTTCTTTTTCTTTCTCTTTCTTCTAAGACTTGAAGATATTAAATACATTAAATAGATTTCAAAGAATTTGTGAAATAATGAACAGACACATCAGAAACAAAACAAAAAGACCCAAATAAAGTTCTTTAAGGTAATTGGCAGTTCTCACCTTTCTCTATGATTCAGTCTTGTATATTTAGAAAAAAAACTGGTTTATCAGTACAAGTATCTGGAAATGACCATCCTGAGGTCAGTAAAAAGATGTTCAAGGGCAGGAAAAGAGTGACAACAGAAGAAAACACCTGAATATCTTGTCATTAACATCCCATATCGACATTAGCAAACAAAAGAAGCATGCTAAAAGAATGGGAAAATGCTAATTGCCAAAAGTATTGTAACATTATACACCTAGAGACGAGAGATCCTGGGTGATGTGATGATGGGTGAAGCCAGAACAGGCCTAATACTCTAAGGCAGATTATCTACTTCCATGTGAGAACGATCTTTAGCAAAACTTATCTTAAAATAAAAAAGAAGTGTGTAGTTTCAATTTCATTTAGGAATTTAACTTTAATTGTGAATGTTAAATTATATCTGTAAATTTTATTTTGAAATATGAACCTTTTACAATTTCTTGTTAATAGATACGAGCATTATTAAGTTTGTTAAAAACTGACTACACTATTATTCAGCTTTCATGAAGGCTATTAGAAACATCAAAAAAGTTGCATATACACTTCAGCTGAAAATATTTTTTTAACTCACTCTTATCACTGCTCGTAAGCTTTGCCTTGGTGCCTTCCAAAATACATTCACTTTACATCATGCAGAAGCATAAAATAAAAATCTTTCAATAATATCTATTAGTGAATCAACAAGCTTCTCTTATAATTTTAATGTTACCTGAATGACAACATACTGATATTTGGTCTACTTCAGAACAGTGAAGTAATTCTCAAATGAAATCCTATAAATAATGAACTAGGAAGGAGGATTAGGATAAGTGTAACAGGTTAATATTAGAAGTCCATTGTCATTGAAATTAATTTATTACAAATTCCCATTACAATGAATGACTGTAAGCAAAATTTATTGAAACATACTTTATTCCTGCTTGGAAAGATTTTTAAAAATTACTTTTGATGTGGGTCAGAGTAAATTGGAAAATACTTTTTAATAACAAAAAAAGTACAAGCAAAAGAAACACAAACAAGGTGGAATTGAAATTGCTATAACATTTTGTTGAAAACATAAGTATTAAAAATTTCATCCTCTTAAACTGAAGAAAACCACAACCCAGTCTTGCAACACTATATCTTAAGTAGTACATTACAACATGAAAAATTGAGACACATTCTTTGATATAATAGGCAAGTAATGTAATAGACCTTGCTGAATAAAGTTAATTATAATTTCATCATTACGCACTATCACTCAGCATGTGATATTTGGGGAGGAGTTCAGCTACATTTACTTTCCAGATACTAATTAAGGACCATCTCAGCATTTGCTCTTAGGATCTCTGGGAAACTGGATTAAAACCAGGATCAAGATGGGGGTCCTACACCCAGGAGTGATTTAATGTTGAATACTTTTAAAAATAAAATTGTTCAAAAACCATTTCTAAGAATTTAAATTCAAATTAAACATGAAAAATGTTTTCAAAAGTTGAAACAACTAAAGATATCAAACAGGAAATATGTATTACTTGAAATTCAAATTACATTATAAATGTCTTCTTAAAACTTCACTTGAGCCTCATATTTAGATAATAATTTTTTTTAAACAAGGAAGAGTTTTACAATGTAAGCTTATAATATTTCTGTAGAATTACAGCTGATTACAATTATTTCTCAAATAATTTTGGAAAAGAACAATCAAATTTTATTAAAAAGAAAATATTGATCGATAGATTTTAGAATTTCTTGTACATTTCCTCAACAATGGCCAGCAAAGATCGGGTGAAACGATGGAAGGAACATCTTGCACAGTCCATGGTTCAATGTATAGACTGCTGCTCTGGCATTTGTTTTGAAGTGAATATAGCATTCAGTCTACAAATGCTATTCTTGCAGGTTGCAAAGTTGCTAATGTTAAACACATCAAGTAAATTTCTGACACCTTGCTGGGAACATACTCACTAACTTCTATTAACAGGTTCATACCATAAGGCTATACTTTTTTGCTCACTAATACCAGTTTTGGTTGTGTTGAGTTGTAGACAAACTACAATTATTATTATTATAATTTCATTCAATGCTATTGAAAACTTTCAGTTTATGCCAATTGTTCTATTGTATGGCATTATACGATATATAATTGTTAACTAATTCTCAAGCACTAATATTTCATTGAAACTACTTAGCGAAAATTATTACATGGAATTCTGAATTCACCTATAAGCAGGTGGCAAATTTCTGATGATAATTGAACAGTGATTATTGATGAAATGTCTTAAAGTGTGCTATTTTGTGGCCAACTACCAAGGCATTACACTTCACATGAAAGCAAGTTGTCCTTACAATAATGCTGAGCAGTAGCCAGGCACGTTTCCAGGTTCTTAAAACACAAAATGATAAGATTAAATCTCTTATGATTACGCAGCCCATTTGTGACTATTCAAGTGATACGAAAGAATTTGTGAAGAGAATACCAGTACAGAGAAAAGGAAAATAAAACACCTGTGCAAAAGTGTCCACACCAAGGACACTTATCAAAAGAATTTATTTTAGATGAAATACATTCCCGGCAATTCTTGAAGTTTGTCTTTACAAGGCGGTTGTTTGTCAAATTGTTTGGAGCGACCTCTGCAGCTATCTCCCACCAAATACAGTTTCCCACGGGCAGCAGCATGGTGAGCATAGTACGTTGGAGCAGGATATGAGACACTTTGCTCACAACGAGAATATGTGTAGCACTGATAGTACACAATTTCTTGAAGTTCATTCTCACTTAATTCATTGTCATCCCATAAACAATGGTACCTGCAAGGCCGGCTACATCCTCTTGGACTATAATGACTCACAAGATAAAATTCACGATCTTTGGGGTTTGTAATTGTATTATCCACAACTGTTCCTGGTGGAACATTTTTGTTTCTTCCAGTGGTTTGTTCAACGGGGAAAAAACGTGCATGATGACGTTTCTGCACAACCAAAAAGGTTAGTTTAACATTATAGTCTGGGCCAAATTTTGAGCAAGCTCTTTGAATTGCCATTATCTCTTTTGATTTAACTTCATCAAATTGACCTTCACCAACACCATCTCTGAAGAATAATATGATTTCAGGTTTTTTTCCCATATTTTTCTCATATACATTCAAATTATGTATCATTATTCTTTCCAAATCAATAATTATTTCTTCTTTTGGTGGCTGAATGCAGATTTGACCATTATATCGAAATCCTGAAGCATCATGACTTGCACACACAGCAGCAACAGATGGAGACCCAATTTCTCCAACTGATGGATGAGTTACATCAGCACCAACATACATAACAGTGGCATTAGAAAATTTGGCAGGCACCTCTGATTTATTAAGAGCATGATTCACACCTCCTAACTTGGCATTTAATTTGAGAATAATGTTATGAATTATCTTTGAATAATCTTTATACCTTTTTAATGTAGTACTTTTTATGAACTGTGTACAAATTTTCAAATTCCGATCTGCGGCATTCTTCAAATTTGTATACACATTGTCCTTATTGTTTCCTATAACAATTACCAAATCAAACCCACTACACATAGACAATTCCTTTTCAAAAAATTGAATATTCCCCCCTGATCTTGTATTAAGTGATCGAGAAGGGTAAGGTTTATCAATGGTTAACCCCATGTCTCTTCCCTGTTTTATCAGATAAGATGCCAACTTGTCAACATCTTCACGTCCAATACACATATCTAAAATGAAAATTGTCCACTTCTTAAGAACAGCACTTTGCAGAAAAAGTGAATCAGAATGCCAACGGCCATTTTGAGGAGTCACAAGACCTTCATTATATGCTAATTTAGGAGGATCAAGAACATGTCCCCTTATTTTCTGAAATTCACAATTCATATTAATACCAAATGCCTTAGCAAATGGAGAATTCTCAAAATCCAAATAAGCTTTCTCAGCTTGAATCTTTTTTACTCTTTCAGATGGGTCAATTGCAGCTAACTTAATCATTTCCCCGGATTGTTTATCACTAAGGTGAGTCTGAACAACTTGATCTTCAACTATCGAACATAATTCAGCAGGCACAAAAGCAGAAGGCCCTACTTTCAAACATGGTAGATTTCTGTACCTCAATGAATAGTGTTTTACATTCTTAAAATATTCTTCAACTGTAATTATCGAACCTTTGAATTCAAATGTGATTTGATCAGGAGGCTTTGAAACATCTGCTATTGTGCAAAAACGTGGTTTAGAATCTGTAGGTACTGAATATGCGACCTTCACACCTTTAAGTATATTACGCAATTGAAAAATCTGTCTCTCGATAGGAGGTGGTACTGAGAAAGAGCTGAACATTTCCCTTATAGTGTCTACAATAGGCTGAGCTTTAAGAAACGCCTTATGAATAGAATCAAAATTGGCATATAATTTGTCACTTCCTTGTCTTACACTGAAATGTAAACCAGATCGAATAACCAAACCATCCATTAAAGGAATCGACGGTCTACTTAATGAAAAAAATGATCTGCCAACAGGAGTATATTTCACTGCTGCTGCAGAACGGAGAACAACCTCAAGGATATGAATGCATTTTTGGTCTACTAACGCAAGATCTACACGAGCTACTAATTTTATAGCTACCTTAAATTCAATATCACGATTCTTGTTTTTGTTTGGAATCTTTATTTTATGTTCCATTATCTCATTTTTGCCACCTGCTATAGGAATCATAGTGTAAGCATTTTTTACTCCATCAAAAGCTATTATATTGTCAGGAAAATATATTTTTTTTATTTCTTCCCAAACCAATCGCAGCAATTTCTTAGGTTTATCTGGATTAAATGTAACATCATAATGAAAAGCAATATCCTTATTAAAATTTTCAATAGCAAAGAAATTGGCTTTCACAAGCAGTGACCTTTTTTTAGTTCCCAAAGAACTAGGTGACACATTTGAGAGGTCAGGGTTTTGTGGGGCAAATGTGCGTGGAATTGCACCAGAAGATGTGCATAAAGCCCCCGCTCCATCCGATGGTGCTAACGCTCTAGATGAACTAGCCTCTTGATCGCGTCTTCTACCCCTATTTGAAGGCTTGTTCAACCTCCATTCCAAAGCACTGTCAGATTGCTCTGGAACATCAGGGCGTCTTGAATCTTGAGCCGCTCCTTGGCATCTAGCATCTGGAAACGCACCGCCACTTTCTGCTTTCCCTCTAGAATTACCATAGTACTCGGCTCTTGAATGAAAATGCCCATCTCTTCCACCACCTCGACCTCTGGACTGGACTAAGGAGTCAGGGTGGCCTCTTTGTCCTCGGCGTTGTACTGTTTGAAAGGCTTCTTCAGTTTGCGACAAGCCTTCCCATGACGATTCTGGTGGTACCAAAGGCTCAGAGGTGGTCTCATGTTGAGAAAGGGAATTCTCTCTCTGCCGAGTGTTGGAGTTTGATGGTGTTGGATGGGATGGTTGATCCCTAGCGAAACCTCGTCTCCGCCGACCCATCACAAACTAATATGGTGTGTTGTCTTCAGTTCTGAAGTCAGATAGGAAATTTTGCATTAAAGTAAAATTAAAATTAAAAAAAAGCACGACTGGACAATAATTTCATTAACATGGAGTGGGACTAGGAATGGAAAATAACCCAACCAGATTTAATGGGAAAACAAATTTAACTATTTTCTCAAATTGGCAATTAATTAAAAATAAAAATAAACCACTTATTTAATCCAGTCCATATTTAATGGGACATATCCCATTTCTACTAGTAATTGTGAGAAAAACAAATGGGTATAATGAAGATTGGCTGGATTAAACTCAGCCTTCAGAAAAATTTGCTCTTTTGGTTTGACTATCTGGCACAGGAAGATATCTTGATCCCATAGTAGTCTAACTGATCATGAAGTCATATTGAGAAATTATTTTCAACAAAAATTCTTCTAAATTCAAATGTTATAAATTTGTGCAGAAATGTTCAATTAATTATTGATAAAGTTACAATATAGATGGAATATACTATTCCAGGACTCACAAATACAACATTTCTGAGTAAATGAGTCCTACTGTTCAGAATACCTTGGTTGATGGGCTCCCTTTCATTGAAAATGTACAGAATAGATTTAAAAAATTAAGTAAAATTCAAATAAATAATTTTGACTTAAAATTGACGGGGTTGCCACCAATGTGCCATTAAAATAACTCAAAATCGCAGAAAATTGTAAAAAAATATGGATAAAAACAATTTAAATCAACACTACTTTTATATCATTAGAATATACGACTTTGAATTTAAAATGTCTTTTCATTTCTTCCTACAATACTATCATAACTGTCGGCAGACCGCCAACTTTTCCGACAAAACGCAAAACTTTGTCCATCCTTATGCCCAAAAATTGGGAGTGACTCAAAATAAGTTCCTAAATCACTTGTCACTTTGGATATACTAGGGCCTATCAAGTACATAGAGACATCTCGCTACGTACCGGAATATTTGCTTATTTCTATAATTCGCAATAAAAAATTCGTGATCGTTGGAATGAAGTTGATTTCACTGTTCCGAGAGCCCTTAATACAATCCTCTTTCGTTGCGGAGTAACTTCCACGTCGTCGATCACTTAGACCAACACGAAGGCAGTGTATACTTGGGTTTTTAATTCTTGACGCGTGAGGGCTTCATCACGACAAATGCCGAGAGATACACAAACGCGAAAACACGCCAAAAACTAAAAAGCCAAGCATAGATCGCACTGGGAAAATGTCAATTGTATCGTCAAAAAAAAGAGAAAAAAATCACCGAAAAACCTTTTTTTCCAATTGAAGTAACTATTAACGAAATCTAAACTGTTTTACAAAAATTGGGAGGTTGTTAGCACTACAAAAAATAGCAGGTATAGTGACGTGACGTAACGCAACTTACCAACACGTATTCCAGCATGCGCATTTCTCATCATAAGTCAATCTTTTTCTAAATAAAAAACTTGGATACTTACATCAATTGTGCGGCAGTTCACTTCAATCGCTCAGAACCCACTTGCAATCACAATGCTTCCGTACACAACAGAAAGCTCGGACTAGTTCTCATGCAATCAAAGTAGAAGGCACTTCTTCGCACAGGTGCTGATGACTGACTGACCGCACCCTCCTCAGGTTACGCATTTTATGGTGATGGGAAGTGACGCAACGAAAGTTCTCGAAGCTTAACAGTATGACTAACCTTACGGAATGAACAGAAGATTCTTCCAAGTGCATGAAACATCTTTAAAATGGCTAGACGCTATTTTTCAACGACAAAATTGAATAAAACTATTAATATTATTTAAAAAATAGTTAAACTTGTTACGAAAGTAAAAGTTTTCTTTAATCCAACCGCTAATAAAAGCCATTGAAGATAATGCGCATTACGAATCAAGTTGGAACCCCTGTACCATTACAGGCCAGTGAAAATCACGTGACAAGAACCTCCCGTGGTACAAAAATAATTATGACCAAAAAATTCATAATTCGAATCCATTTGAAATAATATTGAAATGTAATTCTCAAAATCAAAATTGTGTTTTTATTTTAATTTGTCGAAATGATGTTTACAATATTTCAATGTTGTTTGCAACATTAAGCAACATGACGCAACATTATGCTACACGACGTAACCATCTATTCGTGCAGAAAATATTTCAATGTTGTTTGCAACATTATGCAACATGACGCAACATTATGTTACACGACGTAACCATCTATTCGTGCAGAAGTAAGATACAGCTTGAACTGAAAAACACAGCATCTTAAAGATTCTACAATAGAACATTCCTTAAAGAACAAAATATACGAAATAGAAATTATGCTAACATATCACATAAAACACACTAATACAACTTATCACTGGCTTACGGAGGCTCAAATAAAAATGACACAAATACCAGGTTTCTACTTGCCTGGTTACTTCTGTCGTAGGGCCAAACACACCAATATCAATCATACGCATGGAGGCACATGCATTTCCTGGCCAACAACTGTGATTCCAAAGAAGTAAATGAATTCAAACAAATAACATGCGACTCAGACATAGAATGTTCAATTGTAGAAATTCAAAAGCTGAACATCTTTCTAAGCATTTATCGAGCACCTGAAGGAAATCTTCAAATATTCTTTAAAAACTTAGTATTAATTTTGGATAAATTAACAAAGTGGGCTCATTACTCTATTATAATCTGTGGCGATATGAACATTAACTTCCTACCTACAGCTAATATTACTCATGAAAGAGTCAAAATCAAGCTAATATTCTTAGTACGCTCCTATAATCTAGATGCAGTAATCGACACACCAACCAGGCAGTCAAAGAACTCCTAAACAGCAATAGACCAAATCCTTTTAGACAAAACAAAACACACATGCACAATCACCACTAATGAGTGGAGTTCAGTGACCAGAATACTCAAATACTCACTCTTAAAATAAATTCCACCTCCCCGAAAGCAAACCTTTGGGTTGGGTAAGGAGACCAAGAAGTATATTGAAAAAAACTTTAACAATCTCATCTCACTGTTAACTAATGAATCATGGTTAGGGATATATGAAATATCTGCCATCAACCGTAAGTTTGACACTTTCTTTAATACAATCAAATACTATTTCAACATCTCACATCCACTATAGTATCACAAAACAAACAACACACAAACAGCAAGCATGGATAACAAAAGGTATTAAAATTTCTTCTGAAAGAACAAGAGAGCTTTATAAACTCACAAAAGAACACTCATACAATCGTCAAATAGTCAAATACTATAAGCGATATTCAGCCATACTCAAAAAAGTTATAATAAAGGCCAAACAACTGTCAAATGATGAGTATATAAAAAAATCCAAAAATAAAACAAAAGCTGTGTGGAATTTTGTTAAAAAAAACATTACCAGCAAATCACAAAACACAAAATATTGAACTAGTCCGTGAACACAGAAGAATAACAAACCCTAATGAAACAACCAGTATATTCAACAAACACTTCTCTGAAATTGGTGGTAGACTACTAAAAACTAGAAATCCAAACACTACACCTCTACAACCATCACCTTTGTTTTAAAACTCACTTTCTAGCATGTACATCAAAGAAACAACAGAGAAGGAACTTCAAATTATAAACAAAATGCAAAATAAACAATCTGCTGGGATAGACAACATTCCAGACTTCTTAATAAAAAAGATTGCTCCATATATCATCTAACGATTAACATATTTATACAACCAATCACTCACTCATGGATCTTTCCCAAACATATTTAAAACTGTTGTGATTAAACCCATACACAAAAAAGGTAACTAACAAGATGTAATGAATTATAAACCAATTTCACTCTTGACAGGTTTTTCAAAACTATTAGAAAAACTGATCTATGAAAGATTAAGAAACTACTTGATACACTGTAATGTTAACTGACTCACAACATGGATTCAGGGAAATGGATGGATTCAGCTGAAACTGCTCTATTCACCTTTGTAAATGAAATCCTCATGGCATTAATGCAAAAGGAAATTCCTGTTGGTTTCTTTCTTGACATGTCAAAAGCCTTTGATACGATAGATCACACAATTCTATTGTCAAAATTAGAATCTTATAGTATACGAGGAATTGCTTACAATTGGATAAAATCTTACCTATCAGACAAAGAACAAATTGTAGTATTACCTTACCAAAAAGACAATAAAATAAATAATCATCACTCTGAGCCAAGGGATGTGACATATGGGGTCCCGCAAGGATTTACACTAGGCTTGATTTTATTTCTTATAATTGTAAATGACCTGCCACCAATAATGGAAAACAACAAAACCATACTTTTTGCTGATGACAGTAATATAATATTCAAAGAAAGAACAACCAAAGCTTTGCAGGATAAAGCCAATTCTGCTATTGACAAGCTAATACAATGGATCTGCCATTACAAACAAATCCTAAACCGAGACAAAACAATGACAATACACTTCCGCAACTTTCACTCAACACAACACTCACCAAATTTAACATTAGAAGGAAACAGCATCACACAAGCACAGAAACCAAAATTTCTCAGAATCACCATACAATCCAACCTCAAATGGAACTCATACCTAGAAGATATTAATTCAAAATCGAGCAAACTTAATTATGCTCTATAGAATAATAATAAGAAACAGCACAAACAGCGTACTAAGCAAATGTGCACTCTATTCTCAAATATGGGATAATAAAATAGGTAAGTATTTGTCCCAGTGTCCCCAGAAGACTTATAATAGTTTATATAGTAATTGGGTCTGGAAATGCATTAGACCATTTCTCTAAACCTGTTCTAAACTACATTAAAAAATTTCAAAGTTAAGTTTAAGAGTTTTAAGGAGCTGCCATAACATATCTTTCAAAAGCGCCCCTGCAGCTATCAGGTTTTGGAATTTATTTTTGAATAGATGTCTGACTGAAATACCAGAATGGAAATACGAAAAGCACATTGATATATTTAATTGATAAACTAGTAGACATTTGTGAGTCTGTAAAGATTTGATCAATATTTACAGATTTCTTCTCTTCAAAATGTTAAGAAGAAAACAAGGAATTATTTGTTTAAGAAAAATGGCTTAACTTTTTTAGGAACTCAGAATGCACAACTCAAAATCAGAATTTCTGAAAGTGGGTCAATATATATTTTCAATTCCACCACTCAATTCAGATGTTAAGAGTATTTTTTCATAAATGGGATCTCAGCAGACAGAAATAAAGAAATCACTTGAAAGCTTTGACAAACGAGAGTATGAGGATATTTTATGAGAGTATGACAAACAAGGGTATTTTACAGTGTATGTATAACTTCAAATTGAGCAGTAAGGAATTTTAGGTGAATGCAAGTAATAAACCATTTTGTCTTGAACTTGTCAAATCGATTTGTATGGCTAGTTCAAACTCAAACAGGAAATTGAATAGAATTCTTTTTTGAGATATTCTTAGCGTTTCTGTTATGTAATAAAATGCTTCATGTACTTTTCTGTTCTTTTTGAATTTCCTTTGGAAGTATGGGAAATGCTCGAGATTAAATCAAGAACATTTTTCTGATTTTAACTGACAATCGATTCTGATCTCATTTCAGTTCCAAAATTTATGGTAACCCTTAATTTTAAGCAATCCTCACTAAAGTAATACATCTTACTGACTTTATATTTGCCATTAATTAAAGAGGCACAAGCAAACAGTGTACCATACTAAAATTACTTTTTGTTTTGTGAACTTTAAGCATAATCTTATCTTGCCCACAAGTTGTACACACGTCTGTGGCAGTGCATTTAAGAAATGGGATCAATATGTCAAGAAAGTGAAAACATGAACTCAAAGCTTCAAATGGTCAATTAAAATTTATACTTCAATTCAACTGGTGTTAATTCAAGATCCCAACAACATGGTTCATATAAGAAAACAATAAATCACCATCAATGTCAAAATAAAAGACCTGTAAATTAAATATTGCCATTAGTCACATAATACGGAGAACTAGTGTTCCCTTAGGCAATGTTAACAGTATTGTCCCCCCTCTCCCATACACAAACATTTCAATAGTACATAAAAATGAATATAATAGAATTATTTATAAATATTTTATTAAAAATAAAAGTATTCACAATGATAATTGTGATGTTTAAAAGATTACAAAAGTTTGGTGTCATACAATAATTTGGTACAAAATATTGGAACAGATATTTTACTTACGGTATTTAAAATAAAATGTAACTGATGATCTATGTTTTGTCTGTAACTGATCTAAATATATAGTTTTCTAAATTTTGGAGTTACAAATTTTTGTATAACATGAAATGACTGTTGAATAAATTTATAATCAATCTTATGTCCATTAAGGAAGCTACACCCTTTGTTGTTGAAATAACGTAAAATAATTATAGAAAATTTTAATTAAATCAATTTACAAATTTTAAGTTAATATTAGTTATTAAGGGTAATCTGTTTCCTTGCCTTAATAGAACTCTGCCCTGACCAGTAATGAAACTAACCCTTCCAGAGCCCCAGACAGTGTTCTTAATGAACTTCAACCAATGAGGTGTACAATTCAATTCTTGGAAAAGGGCCATTTAAATAACAAATACATTTTTTTTAAATTTTCTAACCCACACCTCCTCCCTTCATATTGTAAAAGCTCGTAAGACTTACATTCTCTCAGATAAGAAGGTTTCATATTGTACCATTCCATTAGGTTTGTATTGTGTTATATTGTTAATATTATGCATGCCATCTTGTGTAAAATTTTTGATTTCAGTGTTCCACATTTTCAAATACTGCCTTCTATTAATATTATATTTTAATTTACACAAAGTGTCACTATTTTCGATCTTGCATAGAAAGACATTGAAGATCTATTAATGAATAATTACATATGGTTTCAACACTTCACATTCATATTTAGTCTTCATATTTCTTTTAACTTTGCCTCTAGGAGTACGGTTGACCTCACCCGATTGAGTGTGGTATCCTAAACATTTCTGGGACTGTGGTAGTTTAAAAAAGTAGGAGAGGCACCACACCCATGGGGATGGCTAGGTGAATGCTGGCAGCAAGTCATATATAAAGTATGCATTTTTAAGTAATTATATATTTTTTGTTTTTATGTTCTATTTTCAGTTCTCAAAATTGTGATCATGCCAAAACAGGACTATATCCAAAGTTTTTGTTACATATTTTCACTTTCTTGCCTTCAGATACAATTAAATAAACCGGGAAGAGAAGAGAAAACTAATATGCTTAATCCTCTTGATTTTGGACTTGAAATATTTTACACACCTGAAATATGAGGAAAGAATAATAGAAATGTAAGATATTTCAACCCAAGTTTTTATATTCATTTCTTGAAAGCAAACAATAGTTCCACTCATTCAGTAAAGCATATCAACAAAAATTTGAATGTTCATTCTGACAATAATTAGCACATACATTTATGAACAGAACAGATCATCATATCACATGTAGATGATTCATGAATTTCATTAATGATGTAATTTCTTTAAACACCCAATCATTAAAAATGTAATTTAATTTTTGATCTGTGTCTCTAAATCAGGCACCTGCTAATAACATTGATCTTCAATAACAACTTAACAAATTTTGTACTGATTCACCCAGGCAATGAAGTGAAATTAATTTCTTTTTTTAACAAAACAATAAGAAAAATAGGGTTTACAAAACTTAAAAGATACAGATTAGAAAATAGCAATGTCTCATCCACTGTGCTTATACTTACAATGCTTCATTTTTTAACATACGTTTAAGAATTCTGTACATGTAAGATTGTCTTAACAATTCTTCAGAAATATAATACCGCTTCAGTAGTATTAAATATTCAACAATTCATCCATTTATTTTCATGAAATAATGCAATTATTTTCACAGTTCTGTGTTTACATTTTCATCTTTAGGCACATATTAATATGCTTAGCAAAGTTAAATATGCTTCTAACATACAGTCACAATTATTCAGCTTTCATTTGCCATAGTCATGTTGTACAGCATAGCGAAATAGAGTAGGTTATTGTTTTGGGAACCTCCCTTTTGTGTCAAAGCTAATTAACCATACATTAAAGATGTTCCTCAAGGAGAACATAAAAAGTACCATCCATAAATTATGTAACACTAGGGGGGGGGGGTTGAGACAGCATTACACTGCATTACAAAACGATCATGGGGGAGGGGGGAATAGCTTAGGGTTATGCTAATTTGATAGTTTTTCAACATTTGCAGCAATAATTTCTTTTATTCAGTCACAAGCGGAAACATTGCGATATTAACAAATTAAATTCAAATATAAATAAATGAAAGAAATTGTGATATAATTGTTACAATAAATTGAACTATTTTTCATCAATGATGTATTGATTGAATCTGTTAGATTATGAAGAAAATATTGAAAACTTATCTGTAATATATTTTACATGGAATCTGATTAAATTGGCACAAAGAGTCTCTCACCCATGCATTATCGACGAAGGTGGTGCATGGCTTGTTGTCAGAATTTGTCTTGCCTAAGCATCCTTCCTCAAAAATTGTCTCCAATTTTATTGATAGGTGCGGTCAGCATTATCAACAAATTCTAACTTTAATTATAATAAATTTTCATATTGAACAGAAATAATTAATACAAATGGTTTTTACAGTTGAATAATTTATTTTTACTTTCTGTAAATAGTTGGGGAGGTTATTACAAGCATTATGTAATTTAGGGGGGTGTTCATGCACGTATTACAGGGGGGAGAGGGGGTATTCAAATTACTCCAAATTTGCGTTACATAACTTATGGATGGTCCCTATTCTCATACTTACGTGGTTTGAAAAAAATAATGTAACAAGAACGTCATGATTTTGTCCTAATGTCATGCTACACTGCTAGACATCTTCACAGTCACAGTATTTGCATATATGTAAGAACAGGCACACTTTTATTGATATTACCATACAAAATAAAAATTGTATGCAGGGTCAGTAAATGAGTATTATAATTATAATCTTTTGTTTGTTTAAAATAGTGACATGAAAATATAATGAGCAAATGCTACAGATGGGAATGATACTATTTGGTGCATCCTGCTTATTTTATACAAGGACATAAAAAAATTATATAGGAACATTTTGGAAGTTGCTTTTAGTCTGATGGCTCCAGAAAAATATCATACATTGAATTATCTGACATGTGGTTGCCACCATTCTTAAATTTTCATGATTCTTCTAAACTTATTACAAGAATTTACTCTCTTTAAAAAGTAACTTGAGGCAAAATCTTGTGGATGCACCCTGGATACATATGGAATGTTGCTTGGGTAGTTAATGCAGACACAAACATGAAAATAAGACAGAGGAGCTAAAGGTTTAAGTTTTTGTTGGGCCAAGCAATTTTTCACCTTCTTCTGGGCTTACAACTTCCAACATTTTCTGAAGTACACGAGTGAATTTATCTGAAAAGTGAAGAATTTATTGTCAGTTTTTGTAAAAAATTTATTGTCATAAAGGCCAAATTTTCAAACCTTTACCATGAAATTTATGATATGAAGAGGGTTTCTTCTCCCATTTAACACAAAGGTAATAAACTGGTATTCCTGATGAAGTAATTGCAAGACCAATTGCTGAAATGGAAGGATGTATTATATTCAAATGGGAAATAAGAAAGTGAGCCATGTATTTTTAACAGTTAAAATTTTATATTTTGGTATTCTATAAGTTATGATTCAAAACTCCACCATAACTTGAAAATAGAATGGTTTGAAAGCCAATTGTTAAAATTGGTTTCATTCCAGTAATGTAAACCCTGAAATACATTGCTTAACATTTTATGAATAATGCTGGTTTCATTCCAAAAGAATTAAAATATATGTATTAACTAGATAATAATAATGATAATAATAATAATATTTATTGAAGCACATATACAATTACAATCATGTATGACGAGTCAATATGATGCCTTGGGTGGAGAGAGTCACATAAGATAACATTTTGGATGCAATATTTGAATTTAAGATTTTTAAATTGTTATTAACTTAATGCAAAAATAAATATCAATGTAAAATATGTTCGTACCTGTGTTCCAAGGCTCTGTCACAGCTGGAACAAGTGTCAGAAAGACACAGCAAATTAAAAACAATATTGGAAGAGCTAAATTCACTTTAATAGGCCTTGGTATGTTTGGTTTTGTATAACGTAAGTATAGTAATCCTGCTACGCTTGCAGCTACTGTTAGCCACAGGATTAAACTGAAGTAGTTGATGAGAGTAAATATATTACTGGTACATAACATGAGTAAAGATACTGCACACTGTAAAAAATACAAAACAGAGTCACTAAACCTGGAATGAACTTACATAAACTGATACATTCAATATATTCATATAAAGTTACCTAAAATGTACATATTACTTACTGTAAACAGAAGAGAAGGTATGGGAGTAAATCTTCGAATATGGATAAATGAAAAAACAGGAAGTAAATGCCCTTCTTGTGATCCTGCTAGAAATAATCTTGCTGATGTGAAGAGAATACCATTAACTCCACCGAAAGTAGACAAGGCAACAAAAACAGGTACAACCCAGTGTAACTGACCAAACATTTTATTGCCAAAGGTCTGAAAAAATGGAGAGAAAATCTGAATTTTGTTTTAGGGATTGGACTTTACGTTACTGCATATATTTACGGGCATGAAAATATGATTGATGTGCTTTTTTTGATTCACTAGAATATCTACTGTAATCTGGAATGCTTTTTCAATTATTTTGTTCGATGGTAACATACTATTTGAGGTTGATTTCTGAATTATGCAAACATTTTCAGTCTTAAAAGGGCACTCTCTAGGAAAATGAATGATTTAGATTTGGTTGAATGTGTTTTTCTACATATTTTTCCTATTGCCATTTATTGATACCTCACCTATTATCACATCAATAAAATCTATGGAAATTGGAAAGTAGGTAAGAGCCCAGTAGTTAAATCACTAAATTCACTAAGTTGTAGTGAATCCAGAAGTAGGTACATTGAGAATGTGCAATTGTTTTAAACAACTTTCAAGTCTTATTCTATTTTTTTTGTTTGGCCATTTAAAAATTCTTGTAAAATAAAATGAATTAAGTATGATATAAATATTTAGAGTTTTTAGGGCATACCATACATATTTAAGAATTTGAAATATACATAAATTCAGTCTACTACATACAAATTTTGTTTTTATATTATAATACAAACAACAACAACAACAACAATATTAATATTAATAATAATAATAATAATAATAATAATAATAATAATAATAATAATAATAATAATAATATATTAGGCTAAAAATTAATAGTGTACTTACAACAGCAACTACAGGAGATGCAAGCATCTCATCAGCAGAGACAACTGCAAAGTATGCAAGGTTGGCCAACACATAGACCAATGTGACAATAGGCATGGCAATCCATATGGCTCTTGGGAGATTCCTAAAGAAAAGAATTAAAATGTTAACATTACTAACATTTAAAATATGCATCACATAATACTGTGGCACAGCCAAGGTGCAAGAAGCTCACGGGGCTTCACCCCTACATCCTCTACAGGTTTTACTAATTTTGTATAGTAATGAAAGAAATCCAATATCCCAATTGAATATATTGTAAATAATTATAAATCAACATATACAATTAATTTTAATTTCAGCATTAATGACGAATTCTTTACAAGAAAACAAGTTGGCTGGACAGACAGTGGTGGATCTAGGGGAGTGTGGGGGCCATGCCCCCCTCCAAAAGTCCTAGAGTGTAAGTTTGTTACCTTCCTTCATTTGGCAAAATTAATTTAAATATTTATTTATGTTAGAACTATGTAATTATTTAAATAATAATATCATAGGGTGTCATATATGAACTCCAAAAATAACATAAAATATAATAACACATTTTTATTATTTAACAAAATGTATGATGGCATGCCTCCAAAATGAACAGCTGGATCCGCCCCTGTGGACAGTACACCTTTTACTCTCCCCCCCACATACTCGCAGAAATATAATATAAATAATTCTTGTTATTATGCCAATGTATTTGTTACTTGACAAAACCAACTACAGTAAAACATACTTAAAACAGAATGTGTATAATGTGAACACAAAAGTTTGGTTCTATCAAACATAAATTCTAAAATCTGAAATTCCATAGGTATAATGGGGAATTTTTTCTAATGAAAAAACAAAAACAGGGAACAAACTAACTTTGGGGACGCAACAAAATGTGGGGGTCTTAGTCACCAAGCACTGTGGAGCGCTGCGCGGCGACCGAAGCAGTCCGAAAGGAATACCAATATTCTGTCTTTGTCTGACTACCTGCAACTTAATTTTATGAATTTCACGCGTTAATGAACCTAAAGAAGTTCCGACAATTATTCAATGAATTATTTATGCTATTTGGAGAAGTTGTTTTCATAGATATTAGGTTTGTTGATTCAGAACGTACATTTGATGAGTTCTTTGTGTAAAGTTGGCCATTCTGGATGGAAGTCCCTTGGTGTCTCGCAAAAGCCAGTCTGCCAGAAGCGGCCCTAAGCTGCTCTGAATTGCTGTTTGCGAGCGTTCTTGTTAATACGAATGTGCGTTTAAGATATTTCATTACTGCACTAATACCAGGGTAATGAAGTTTAAATAAAATAATTTTATTTCTATAAAACGTGTCCAGACAATAGTGCTTGTGCAACTCTGGAAATCAAAGCCAGAAGTACTTGCGCGGAAGGTGAATATACGTGACACGGATATGCATAAAAATATGAAAGTAACATTTTAGAACACATGTTTATTAAATTTAGTTTTAGCTAGTCTACATGAATTGCTTACATTAGTGTTCTGAATTTTGGAAATTAAACTTTCGTTATTAGATGGAGCTGCAACCTCCAGTTTGTTCGGGCACCAGCGTCCACTCGGTGACATGTTTTATCGAAGCCGCAATTTTGGCAGAAGGAATTTGGACGCTGTCGTGAGCACATGGGAAGATATTTGATAGCGGTCGTAAGCTCACGGAAAGCTTATCGTGAGCATTTGAGAAGACATTTAGTTGTAGCGAGTAGTGGCGGATCCGGGGAGGGGCATGGTTCCCCCTCTAGAGTGAGGTTCCGTCTCTATCTCTCCGTGTGCGTGTCTCTCTCTTTCTTCCTCTGCGTGTCTGTCTCTCTCTTTCTTCATCTTCGTGTCTGTCTCTCTCTCTTTCTTCCTCTGCGTGTCTGTCTCTCCTCTCTTTCTTCCCTCTGCGTGTCTGTCTCTCTCTCTTTCTCCTCTGCCGTGACTGTCTCCTTTCTTCCTCTGCGTGTCTGTCTCTCCTCTCTTTCTTCTCTGAGTGGTCTGTCTCTCTCTCTTTCTTCCTCTGCGTGGTCTGTCTCTCCTCTTTCTTCCTCCTCGTGTCTGGTCTCTCTCTTTCTTCTCTGCGTGTCTGTCTCCTCTCTCTTTCTTCTCTGCGTGCTGTTCTCTCTCTTTCTTCCTCTACGTGTATGTCCTCTCTCTCTTCCTCTGCGTGTCCCTGTCCTCTCTCTCTTTCTTCCTCTGCGTGTCTGGTCCTCTCTCCTCTTTCTTCCTCTGGCGTGTCTGGTCTTCTCTTTCTTCCTCTACGTGTATGTCTCTCTCTTTCTTCTCTGCGCCTCTCTCTCTTTCTCTGCCCTCTCTCTCTTTCTCTGCGCCCTCTCTCTTTCCCTGCGTCTCCTCTTTCTCCTGAGTCATCTCTGATTTGTTCTCTCTCTTCATCCTGCTTCCCCTTCTCTTCCCTGTATCTGTCTCTGTCGGGAGAAATTTCACAAATCGCTGGGCAAAATTACGCAATGAAGACGTCCTTTATAAACGCTACTTCAGATTTAAACGGGTTGGCGCCAAGCGCCGTTACGTAGCAGCGCGCATATTCAGGGCGCTTTGAGTCACATAAAATTCATCATCAATGCGCGTATAATTGTGCACCGACATTCCTATCAATGCTATGCCTGTATTCTTCCCTGGAAGTGCAAGCAATAAGTTGATAAAGTTTTATCGCAATCGATGAACGATACGGCAGTGCATTAAATATGAACCAACCAACGAACACCTTGTCTTTTTATATATTAGTTAAACAACCTGTTATTGGGAAAAAAGGGAAGTCTGATTATTAAATAGACTCCGTAAATCCAACCATTTTTAACAATACGTTTTCAGATAATAGCTGGTCCGTACTGATGGGACCGTTCGGTCCACGTAAGTATATTCAACTTCGTATAAGAAACCTGGAAGACGAGCATTTAAATTAAATAAGAATTAAATTGTTTTTAAGTTTGAAATATTTTCCTACATAAATTGATATTAAGAGCGTTTTAGTAAGGATTCTTGGTTCAAAAAAAAAGTGCACAATTCACTGTAAGACACACAGTTTAATACCTCGTTTTTGTTGAAAAAATCCAATAAATGTTAACATTATTGTTTATCTTTGGCAATTTATATGATGATTCAAAATTTAAAATAGTTTTCGAGAACTTTTAAGATTCATCCAATTTTCAAACAAGCTTACCCCTCGGAGCATCGTCGAGTAAACACGCTCTCCGAGTCGGGAGAACAATGTTTTTATTATGGGGCGGCAAACGCGGGCGTCAGATTAGCGCGAGCCACGGGCCGCGGGCGCAAGCACTGGGCAATTCATTGGGGTGCAGGAGCGAAGCCTTGCTCTACTTCCTCCTCACCACCACTCCACGCCCCTCTCCTCTGTCACCTCCGCCCCCCCGCCCCACACCGTTCCGCCGCCTCCTCTCTCTCTGCCTTACTTTCGCCCCCACCTCCGTACCCGCCCCGCTTTCCACGTGTTCTCGCCCGCTAACTTCCTCCTCACCGCCACTCCGCTGTCCCCTCCCTCGCCACGCCACTTCCGACCGCCGCCCTCCTTACCTAAATCCCACCACCATCCTTCCCCACTGCTCTGCACCAACCACCCACACCCGGCCTGCAATCCGTCTGCCGCACCACCCCCCCCGCCACTCCGCTCCTCGCCCGTGCGAGGAAGAGCGAGTGTTTGCAGTTCGTGACATTGCCGAGCAGGAGGGTTTCGCCTGAAAGGCTTTTGCTGTAACGAAGCTCGGGTAGCAATTCAAACGACCGTCTTTTATTCTCTGGAGAGAAACAGTTGCCCGCTTTGGCACCATGAGGGGCGGAGACTACAGTCCCATGCGCAGGAGGGGAACGGTCAAGGATTCTTAGTTTGGGTTACCTAATAGCTTTCAATAATAAAAATAGAAACTCTTTTACCTGTTCTTTTTTTTACTTCTCGCTAGTGCCTGCGCGGTAAAGAGAGAGGTATGTAATGATACGGGGAAAATCGGCGAAAATTTGGCAGATAAACTGATTGCGTGGCCTTGGTGACGAAAAAGTAGATAAATACAGTTGCGAAACAGAAAAATAAATCCTCTAACACGTGATGTAGCCACATCCATGTTTTCTGGGTCCTGGATATCGAAAAATCGATTTACGGCAAAGCATCTGCCCGTCCGTCCGTTTGTCTGTTTCATCAACGCTAGCGGCAAAACCGCTCAGGCGATTTATTCCAAAATTAATATTCCCTTGATCGATCTGGTTGATGTCGCGGACCCCTTGAATATGAAATCGATATTTTAATTTTGGGGGTTACTTAACATGAAACTCTTGGGACAATTTCAAAATTTTCAAAAAAATCCAACGTTATTGATTAAACTTATTGGATAGCGTGAATGACGTTTAATAGCAAGGTGCACGTCTCATGTTCGTTGAAAATCACGAATTTTCGAAACTTGCGAAAAAACTCAAAATTTTCTTGGTCTCTTCCTACAGCTATAATTTTGAAGATAGCGATTTTTTCTTTCCCGTATACATACGTATATACGGAGTAATACACGTAGTATATTCATGTGATTTTGTAACGTTTATAGAGTTTGTATAGTTGTTAAGTTCTGTAATGTTAAGTTAGTGTATTCTGCCACCAAGTTCTCACACTTAATTGCAGAATTATTAATAAATCTATCTATCTATAGGAGACTTTATGTAATGCTGCTCGAAAAACGGCGGATTTTCGGCAGTAAAAAATCATTGTCGTGCGCTGATAACGAAAGAGTGAATAAATTCAGATGCTAGATTAAGAAAAAAAGTCCTCTAACACGTGATATAGCCAGAATCCCTGTTTTTTGGGTCCTTGATACCGAAAAACCAATTGACGGCAATACGTCAGTCTGTGAACACCACTAGCGCTTAAACCATACTTGGGATTTTTTCCAAAATGGATATTTACAGGTCGATCTGACTCCACTCGAGGCGCTTCTATTTTGAAAAATCTTTTTTCTAAATTTGGGGGTCCTATACATGAAGCCCCCCGAACGTTTTCAAACTTTTTTCAGAAACGGCTCCAATTTGTTTCTTCAAATTTCTAGTAATAATTGAAATAATTCTATGCCAACGAAAACACACCGCAATATATAGTAAGCA